ATTTGATGGGCAGCAAAAGGCCTCCTGGTGCTACATCCATGTGTGTGGAAATTACAACAGAGTAAATAAAAACACAGCAAGATGTGAGATCCTGCAGACAGAGCTTGGTCATTCCATAGCTGCTTGCTGGCTGGAGACCCTCCAGACCCCTGCCCTGGAACAGACCCTTTGTGTTCTGTCCTCTGTACACACTGGACTCGTTTCTGCCTCTGAGCATCTCTTGGCACTGAAAAACCTGCCAGGAAAGACCATTCACTCCATTTGCTTCAAAGCAAAGACCAACTGGGCCTCGCTGAGTGTTATTTAAAGCCCTCCTTTCGTGCTGGCAGCAGCAGAGCCGAGCTGAGCACTCAGTTGTTGTGCATTAACAAAGGTTGCAGGCAGCCCCCACGTCCCCAGACTTCTTTCCTTTTTCCCTGTCCTTTCAGCAGTAAAAGAAACACAACCCATCATACTGCAAAAAAACCAACAATAAATCCATCTAATGGACCTGCAGTGCAGAAATCAGCCTCTGGCTACCAGGAAGGCATTGAAAGGCCCAAAGACGAAAGGACTGCTCTTGTGAAGCCAATTGCCACAATCCCTTGCTATGACTGTATTAAAGAAAAGTCTGTGTTAAAAGACTCCTTGTGGCTTCCAGCAACACAGGGGCTTTTACTTCTGTCTGTTTGGCTGCACTCAAAAACCTTTTGCATCTCCTGAAAGCCTTTGGCTGTGCCTGCAAAGGAGAACTTGAGGTTTTCCAAGGTGAGGGAAGCTGGAAGGGACAATTCTGGGAGCCAGTTCTCATCTTTTTTTTTTTCTTTTTCCCATTTTCAGTCCAATTTGACGCCAATAAATTCTGACTTATGAAACAGTCATATTGAGCTGGCCTAACAGTTAATGCCTGCAAGGGAAGCAGGAGAACTGCTTTTTCACCTCCATGTTTCCTCAAGTGATCCTAAAAGTATTTATAGGAATATACCAAGAAGAAATTTGTAAGGGAATAATGCAATCCAGAGGACAGCAAACAACTGGAAGAGCCACGCACACAGCCAGAGCCTTTATGGGCAGAAAGGGCTCATTTTTGGTGTGAGAAGCTGCACAGCATATTTAGGAACACATCTGAGTGTTAGACTGGCATGAGAAGGGGATTAAATATTCTGTCAGACTTTATTAATTCTATCTTACTTAAACAGAAAGCAGCAAACCCTTCCAGAGCCCAGGCAGGACTGTGAGTTACAGAGGAGTTCAGGTTGGCAGCTCTCAGTCACAGACAAGAGAGAAATGTTGTGACATTAAAATGCAAACAGCATTTTAATCAAAATCAAGCTGGGGAGTGTGTTCACCTCAGCTGGCACTGCTGCTTGGTATTTCCATGGGGATACAACTTTATTGCCCAATCAAGCTGCCATTTCCCACAGTACCTGTTCTTGTCAGCCCAGATTCTACACATACCCCCCTTAGGAAAAAAATCTGTCCAGGCACACACCCCTTATGAAAACAAAGCCAAAGCTTGGGGAGTCTCACCTTACCTTTACAGCCACTGCTCAAATAAACCCTCAGGGGTGGCCCTAAAGTGGCTGGGAGCAGCCAGAGGGAGCGAGGCTTTCTTACCTGGGAGTGGCACTGGAAGCCAAAATAAACCACCACGATGGTGGGGAGCAGCACAACGGTGAAAATAACGAACATCAGGAGCAAATTAATGAGAAAGACCAAGGAGTTCATGGTGCCTATGACCAGGGTCCACGCCAGGCAGCACCAGGGATTGCGTTGCTCCCTGGGCAGGAGCTGGTCATCCATGTCATAGGGTGGGAGGCCAGGGATCATCCGAGACTTTTCTGAGAGGTTTTCTGCTCCAAAGTCCTCGGTGTCCTGGGCAGACATTCTTCAAGGAGATCAGTCAGCCCACGCTCTTATCCAAAATGATTTCTTTGCTTTTGGAAGCAATTTGCAAAGGCTTTTTCTGCCTCTTCCACACGTGGACAAGAACCCTTAACCAGAGATCATTATGAAGCAAGGAAGGAAAGGTGTCTTTCCTTCCTTCTTTTCTTTGCCACCTGCTTCCTCAGGACCTCGCCAGTACAGGTTGTTTTCTTGAGGTGGTTTCCCAGCAGTGTCCCAACCTCAGTTCCAAGTAGATCTGGCTGCTGGAAGTTTGGCAGTAGTTATTATCTTTGTTTAGAATCCAGAGTTCTACTGAATTTGCTGTTGTTCTTCCCAGGATTATGATCCCAAGAGGTCCCAAACAGTTACTGTCTCAGCTGTTCAGTTCCAGAAGGTGACTGGCTTTAGTGTCCTCCTCCTCCACCTTTGAGCACTGCTGGTTCTTAGGAATATCAGGCTTAGGCACTGACAGATATTTCCTAGTCTTCAAACCATTTTTCCATGCTCTTCACCCTGTAACCATGTAAATATTCCTGCTCAAGCCTCACCCAAACGAGATGACCAGTGAAGACAAAGAGCAGGAACTGTTTCTCCCCTCTCTGGAGTCCTTGCCCACACGGTACAGACCTGGGAGTGGAGATGGGAGCGGTGTGTGGTGTCACTGCTCTCAGCTGTCTGCGCTCACAGACACTCAAACCCAGGCAGTGTCGTCCCTTCTGAGCCAGCTCTCAGCTTTGCAACACTGCTTTGTTTACAGAACAGGCTCAGAAACTGCTCTCTGTGCTGGCCAATCCTTCACATCTGTCTCACCAGGGATGTGATTGAGCACTCAGCACCCAAGAGCCACACTCGAACCATCCATCCCCAGGGAAAGATGGTCCCTCTCCAACCTCAATTATTCTGCCTCTGATTCATTTTCTAAAATTCCTCTCTAGATTAAAAAATCTCAGAGAAATTGATAACAATCACTGTATACCTCAGAAATCATCTGTCCCCTGCAGTCATCACTGTTACTGATCACAGAACATATTGATATTCTTGTAGTGAAGGCACAGCAATTATCAGTTATTCAATCTGCCTCATATGATCAATTTTATTTAAGAATTACAGTGGCATCTGCGTGTTTATGTAGCCTTTTAGATACAGCCATGGTAATAAGAGAGAGAGATATTGAAAAACACAGAGAAAAACAACCTTTAAAACAGACATCAGAGCACGAAAAGTCCATTTTCATCATGTTCCTTCACATGGCTCCCAGGGGAGGTTGCAGGCCACTCAAGCTGCAAAATGTGAAATTTCTTCACAGGTCTGTCCAGACATCCAGAGGGAAATAACTGCTGAATCCAGCCTGCCTTCAGTGCTGAGAGACAGTGTTAATAAAGCCTGAATCTGTGCAGGAAACCAGATGGTGTTGGGTGTAATAAATGTGACAAGTGGCACGGAGGCAGTGAAAGAGTCCCAGTATTTGCTCTGCCATCTGAAAGCTGCTGATTTAAAGATGTAATATTTTTTGAGCTTGATTTATGCCTTCTAAGAGGAAAAAGGACAAGTCACACAAAGAACCCAACACAAAACTATGGGAAGAATAATTGAGGTTAGGCTTAAACCATGGAAAGATGAGCTTGGTGCTGGGCAACTCAAAATCCTACAGCTGCTTTTACCATCTGGAGAGGGCACAGTGGGGTAGTACAGCACAAAGCTCCTTAACTAGTCATAAAAATGCCATAAATTCTAAAAAGCTCTGCTAAATCCAGTGAAACTTTCCAGAGTTCTTTTGCTGTAATGAAAACGCATTTTAGCCTGTGGGAGGTCTGTAAATTTATTTTCCTTTGGAGAAAAAAAAAATTCAACACATGCAGATTCTAATGATTCTTCTGATATTGTGTTAAACAAATCCCAGTGATAGTAAGAGAGATTGCCCAAGCCTCAAATTCTGTGAAATTTCCACTTCCTTAATAAGCACCTGCCCAGAAATGGGAAAGATATCTGGATGATGGAGCAATTCCTACCAGGAGCATCATTGCTTTGAAATGCTGGAACTGGTACTGATTAAAGAGGATCAGACAAATTCATTAGTTCTCTGACGCCAAGGACTGCTGCTCCTAAGGAATAATTTTCTGGCAGCACCATCTTGTGGTTTGCTACAGCTCATAAATTTTTATTTTATGTCTCGCAATCTCTTACACACGGGACGGTTCTACCCAGGTTGGAATCGTCCCAGTCACTGCAAAGAACACCAAATCTTTGCACGGTGCTTTAGCGTTGCTGGCTTGGGCACCTGTTGGAGTTACAAAGCCCAGAAGCACAGAAATGAGAGGACAGAGCCTTAAACAGCGCCAGGGGAGGTTTAAGTTGGACATCAGGGAGAATTTCATCACAGAAAGGGTGGTCAGGCCTTGGAAGGGGCTGCCCAGGGAGGTTTGGAGTCCCCATCCCTGGAGGTGTCCAAGGAAGGACTGGACGTGGCACTCAGTGCTGTGGGCTGGGGGACAAGGTGGGCATCGGGCACAACGGGGGATCCATGGGCTGGGAGGGCTTTTCCAGCCTCAGTGATCCTGGGATGCTCTGAGAGTGGACAAGGAAAGGCGCGGGGAGCGGGGCCGGGAGCCGGGGAGGGCAGAAAGGCCGGGGAAGGACCGGGAAAAGGGCTGGGAAAAGGATCGGGGGAAGGACCAGGAGAAAGACGGAGGGAAGGATCGGGGCAAGGATCGGAGGAAGGGCCAGGAGAAGGACCGGGAAAAGAATCGGGGAAAGGACCAGGAGAAAGACGGAGGGAAGGATCGGTACAAGGATCAGAGGAAGGGCGAGGGGAAAAGCCGGGGGAAGGACTGGGGAAGGGTCAGGGAAAGGACCGAGAGAAGGTCCGGGGGAAGAGCCGGGAAGGACCGGAGACAGGACTAGGAGAAGGATCGGGGAAGGATCGGGGAAGAGCCGGGAAGGACCGGAGACAGGACTGGGAAAAGGATCGGGGAAGGATCAGGGGGAAGGCGGGGAAGGACCAGAGGAAGGGCTGGAAGAAGGACCGGGAAAGGGCAGGGGGGAGCACCGGGGGAAGGAGCGGGGAGCGATCGGCAGACGGACCGAGGGCAGGGCAGAGGGACCGAGGGCAGGGCCGGGGAAGGCTCGGGGCCGGCTGAGGGGCAGGGCCGGCTGAGGGGCAGGGCCGGCGCCGAGCCCGCCCCGGAAGGCTCCGCCGCAGCCATGGTGGTGCTGAGCGCGGCGCGGTGGATCCGCAGCCGCCTCACCGACCGCTTCTGGAGGAAGCAGGAGGTGCTCAAGTACGCGCGGGTGAGTGCGGGCCCTCAGCCGCCCTCCCAGCCCGGCCACACCGCCCTGTGCCCCCCTCCCCGAGCCCCCCGGGTGTCCCAGCCCTCCCCCGGCACTGCCGAGCCACGTGTGGGGTCCCTGCGGCACTCCCGAAGCTGCGGCTGCTCCATCCCTGGGAGTGTCCAAGGCCGGGATGGAGCGGGCTTGGAGCAGCCTGGGCTGGTGGAAGGTGTCCCTGCCCGTGACACACTTCGAGGCCTGTTCTCACCCAAACCGTTCTGTGATTGACTCACACCGATTTAACGTGTTCTAGGTGTGTAAATTGATCTCTGTTTGGTTAAATCCATAAGCGCATCTGGTACTTGTGCTGCAGCACAACACGTGTGTGCGTGGGCACGAGCAACAGCAAGAATCCTGAGAAGAAGGAAGAAATAAAAGCACTGTGACAAGATCAGTCTGCAAATCCACTGTGCTGTAGGCCGGTGTTGATTGTGGCTTTTTTTGTTGATTTTTTTTTTTTAACTGGGCAAAGGAGCTGCTTTTTGAAAGGGGAAAGAGGCTGCTGCACAATGTGACTTCAACTAAAGTTCAGGCTATTGAACCTCTCTCAAGGGCATCCTGGGAGGTGTAGTACATCTTGCTGTAATATTGAGGTAGAAAATGTTGAAGGAAGTGGGAGTGTCTTGGTTTTGTAGCACCTGAGCTGCCCACAGTACCAGTGGTAGTTATTTCTGCCTGCTTCCTCCTGCATCACTTTAGGTGGGTGTCAGTGGTACCTCCAGTAAACTCCTTTTGTTATACTTTCTGTTTGAGTGACTTTTTGATATATCTGAGGCTCCTCTTCACACAAACACAGTGAAGGGGCAGCTCAGGAAAGAGAATGAGTGTGCAAGTTTAGGGTTGGGTGAAAGCACTGACGATGATTTTGTGATTGCCTCCTGGAACCACAGCCCAAAGTAAGGTCTGGTTTTGGCTCCATGCCAGACCAACATTTTCTAGCCTGCTCCAACTTTTCAACCTTACATTTCCCATGCTATAAACCAAGGAAAGAATATTTTCATTACACGCCAGCTGAAGTGAAGTGTTCAGTGATCCTTGCTGTGGAGAGCTGTGAAATGTCCGTGAGCTTATACTGGTGTTACTGGAGGGTTTGACAGCCTTAAACATAATGAGAACATCCTGCTTTTGTTCCAGCATTTTCGTGGGAGGAAGAACCGCTGCTACAAGCTGGCAGTGAGGAGCGTTCGCAGGGCGTTCGTGAAGTCCACCAAGGCCAGGGCAGAGAAGAAGAGATTCCTGAGAGAGGTAAAGAGCAACACCTTGGGTGTGAACATGAAAATGGGAGAAAGGCAGAAGTGAAACTACCGTCTTCCTTACTGGGGGGGTTCCCCCAAAAGCAGTCAGTGAAAAATATGTGTTCAAAGTAAGGATTCTCAGTCCCTATGTGGGCTGGAATGGCTCGTTCAGAAGTTAATATGTGTATGTGGTGCACTGAGGAGGCTGTGGGTCTCTGGTGACCAGTGGCAGGACCTGAGGAAACGACTGGAGCTGTGTCAGGGCAAGGTTAGGTTGGATCTCAAGAAAAGGTTCTTCCCCCAGAGGGTGGTTGGGCACTGAACAGGCTCCCGAGGGCACTGGGCACAGCACCAAAGCTGCCAGAGCTCCAGGAGTGTGACAACACTCTGAGCAACAAGGTGGGATTGTTGGGTTGTCTGTGCAGGGCCAGGAGTTGGACTGGATGATCTTCGTGTGCCCCTTCCAGCTCAGGATATTCTGTGATTCTATGAAAATGTTGTATTTAGTGTGAGCAGACCAGTGTGGCAAAAGGATTACTATTAAAGTATTTTATCACTCAAGATGTTCATTTTTACCCTTTCAGCTCTGGATCACAAGGATTGGAGCAGCTTCCCTTGAACATGGTTTGAAGTACCCAGTCTTCATAAGCAACCTGGTTAAGGTAAGGATGGGGCTTGTAGAATAATTACGTATTAATTCTAGTGATGAAAGGCCTTCTGCTTGTGAAAGCAGTTTCATTCACTTCAGGAATTAAGTTCTGCCCTAAATCTGTTTCTCTTCCTTACATGCATCATCCCCTTTCATCCTGGTGAACATTGTGGTTCTACACCTTGTCCTGTCCCCAAAACTCTTAATGAGCATCTTAAGAATGAGACTTGTAAAATGCTCTTACACTGTTGCTCTTGTGGGCATTAAGTGACAACTTGCTTTCCTTTTACTTGAAGAAATTCAGAAGAAGTTTTAAAATACAAAGCTTGGAATAGAAAAAAACCCCACCCTAAGAAATCTCTATTCTCTTCACTGACTTTGTGCATTGCTGAGCATGGACAGTGCAGAGAGCTGGTGCCATTGTCCCTGTTCTTAAACATTCTGGGATTTGGTTTTAATTTGTTGATACAGCTTTTAATGTGTTGAGACTGTTGGTTTTAATTTTAGTAGGTTTTCGTTTGTTGATACTGGTTTTAATTTGTTTGAGCTGAAACAAATGCCATGGGTTAACCTGGAACACATGGCCTGGAGCAAAATAAGAGATTCTTCTTCAGCTCTTGGTTTCTACCAGAAAAACTTAAGAAGCAGGTTTTACACAGTGGCTTAATGAGATACCCATGGACAAGTAGTCATGTGTGACAGTCTTTAACAATTCCAGAATTATACAGGGTAGAAAAAAGGTAATTTGCCTTAAGACCTCAGGTATTAACATTGAGAGTGTTTAATGAAATTTAATGAAGAGTGTTTATATAAACAATAAAGAGTGTTTATTATATTTAATACTTAATAAAGTGTGATTAAGCATTGCAGTGTTGATCCTAAAAATTACAGGACTTAACCAACAAATTTTCTTGCATTTAGTCCCAGGTGGAGCTGAATAGGAAAGTGCTCGCTGATCTGGCTATTTATGAGCCAAAGACCTTCAAGTCCCTGGCTGCTTTAGCCCAGAGGAGGAGACAAGAAGGATTCCTGGCTGCCCTGGGAGATGGAAAAGAACCAGAAGGGATATTTTCACGGATTGTGCGCCACCACTACTGATATCAAAGAGTCTGTATATATGTGTTATAAACAGGGATGGGATTGCAAAGTAAACCTGCTCTGTGACTGCTGCTAAGATGGAAAATATGGGACAATATCCTCTAAGGATGGTTCCAGCAGGATGAGGTGGGTCTGGGTGTGAAGCTTCACCTTGGTGGCTTTTTCCTGTGTTGTTGTCACTGAAACCTGTTAAATTAAAAGCACCGTTCAACATTAGCAGTCAGGCCATACAAGGACACACATAGCCTGTTCTCTTAATAACTTAATAAAGATATTTTTTCGGTAACTTTGGAAAAAAACTCATTTGTGTGGTGAATTCTGGTGCTGCACAGCAAAAACCCAGCCGGGGTGGGGGAGTATGTTCACCCTTACACGTGGACCTCAGTGGCCAGTGTGTTAAGGACACAAGGACACATACAGTCTGTTCTTTTAAGGACTTAATATAGGGATTTTTTTTTGGTAATTGGCTAATGGAAAAAACAATATGAGTGTTGAATTCTGGCGCTGCACAGGGGAAAACCCAGCCCAGAGGCACAGAGGATATCGACCTTCGCATGTGGACCCTGTGTGTTGAGGACACAAGGACACACATAGTCTGTTCTTTTAAGGACTTAATCAAGGCCTTTTTGTTTGTTAACTGCTATGAGGAAATAATGTGGGGAAATAATTTGATGAGTTCTGGCTCTCTATGGGGAAAATCCAGCCCCAGCGACCCTCGCACATGGAACCCAGTGGCTGCTGTGTTAAGGACACAAGGTCATAGAAGAACTTAATAAAATAGGGGGGGGTTGGCAACTATTGCTGGGAAAAATAGTATGTTTTGGGGTTTTTTGTGTGTGTAGTGAGTTCTGGTGCTGCACGGGGAAAACCCAGCCTGGGGTGGGGGGAAGAAGGGCGGGGACGGGACGTCGACCCTCGCACACACGAATCGCGACGGCCGCCGCGCTAAGGACACACGGGCACACACAGTCTGTTCTTTTAACTTAATTGACTTAACATTTTGACTGAATAAACACATCTTTCCGGTAACCGCTGTGCGCAAACAGCGACCGGGCCCGCCCCAGCTCTGAGGGCACCGCCCCCCCCGCCCTGCTCGGATTCCCGAGAGCTGCGTCACCGCGCCGCGCGCGGCCCCGGGCGGCGTCTGACGTCACGTCCGCTCCGCCAATCAGCGGGCGGCCCCGCGCCGCTCTCCACCAATCAGCGCGGGCGGACGCGGGGGGGAAGCAGAAGGAGAAGGAGCGCGGAGCCAGCGAGGCGGCGGCACAAAATGGCGGCGGCGACGGCGGGTGGTGCGGGAGGCGGCGGCAGCGGCGGCCCCGCGGGCCCTCAGGCGGCCGGCGCGGCTCCCACCCCGGCGCCGGGCCCCGGCGCGGTGCTGATCGGCGACCGGCTGTACTCGGGTGTGCTGATCACGCTGGAGAACTGCCTCCTGCCCGAGCACACGCTGCGCTTCACGCCGTCCATGAGCAGCGGCCTGGACCCGGACACTGAGACCGAGCTGCGCGTCACCGGCTGCGAGCTCATCCAGGCGGCCGGGATCCTGCTGCGGCTGCCGCAGGTGGGGCTGGGCCGCGGGTGGGGAGGCTCTGGGAGCGGGCCTGGCCCGGCTGGGCTCTCCTTTGTCCCTGGGCCCGTTGTCTCGGTTCCAGGCCGAGGAGGCCGCGGGGCCGCCCAGGGTGGCGGGGGTCGCTCAGGGACCGCTCGGGGGTCGCTCAGGGACCGCTCGGGGGTCGCTCGGGGCCTGGCCCGGCCGCGGAGCGCAGGAAGCGGGTGATGTCAGCGCCTTTCCTGCGCCGCCCCCGCCGCCTCTGCTGTGATCGGGGATTGTGCAAAGACGGATTTCTTTTGAGTCGTGACCTCGGGAGGCTTTTGTTCCCCTGGAGAACTTCGGGCCCAAACGGCCTCGTTGCTCTCTGAGCGTTAAAACTTTCCAGGCGTTTCCCAGCTACCAGGCCTCAGCTACTCAAATATATGCAAATCAATTTGTTATTAGTTTCCATTTCTCTTTCCACGCCCCAGAATCAAAGTTTTTCCGGTATATCCTCATAACTTTCAGTTTTATTGAGTTTTGGGACTTTTTTTCCCCTTTAAATCACTATTTATTCAATTAACTTGGAGCATATTTTCATACTTTCTAAAATTTGCGATTTAATGTATGAATTTGGTTTAGAGTATGGTCTTGATAACTTAAGTAGCAGTTCTGATTTTCCTTAGATACCACTGAATTTACTCCTATGCTTACCCAGGCTTCTGGGTCCCAAATCTGTAGAAATTCCTCATTGGAACTGCTTGTTTTGTTCATGCCTGTTGTGGGTATCTCTTTTTCTGTTTTAGGTGGCTATGGCTACAGGACAGGTGCTATTCCAGCGTTTTTTTTATACCAAGTCTTTTGTGAAGCATTCCATGGAGGTAAGGGAACATTAAATAACGTGTGTTATTTGTATACACAGAGCCATATACACCTTTTAATCTTTGAACTCTTTTGGCAAGTTGTCATCTGAGATGTGGCCAGTGTTAGTGGCTGGCCTGGAGGTTATACTTAGAGAACAACATAATTTTACAAAGCTACATAATAATGATTTTTGTCAAATGTTTTGTATTTCTTTGTTTTAGCACAGTTTTCTCTTGTTGTCCCTCCTTCAGCTGTTGGAAGAGATCAGTTCCTGAGCTGGAACTGATATTATATGATACAATATGTTATGTGAAATACATTATATATTTGTATTTCAGCATGTGTCCATGGCCTGTGTTCATCTGGCATCCAAAATTGAGGAAGCCCCGAGACGGATACGGGATGTGATAAATGTGTTCCATCGCCTCAGACACCTGAGGGAGAAAAAGTAAGCTGAGACTCTGCAATAATATCAAGTATTTGTGTTGTATTTTAATAATTAAACTTCATAATTCCCTGATTTATAAATCAGGGAGCATCTCGAAGAGATCTCATGAAGGGGAGTTGACACATTTTATTCACTCATTTGTTTTTAGTGTTATAAATTCTGATACCTCTTATTTTTACACAAACACAGCCTGCCTATGAGCCCTCTCTGAGGTTAAGATGATCTCCAGAATGTGACCTTGTCTTGCAGAAAACCTGTGCCTCTAATACTGGATCAAGAATATGTGAACTTGAAGAATCAAATAATTAAGGCAGAAAGAAGAGTGTTGAAGGAGTTGGGATTTTGTGTTCATGTGAAGCACCCTCATAAGGTTTGTAGTGCCTAAGTTCACTTCATAACCAGTGTTTCATGTGCTGTAATGCTTTGAGGAGGCTGCCTGACTGCGTGGATTGTACATGATAACTTCAGTTAATTCAGAAAGATTAGTTTCTTACCATCCTGATGTTTTCTTTCTCATTTAAGAGACTCTTACTAATTGGTCTTGTATCACTGCTGAATGACGACGAGGTGGATGCAGGTGCTCAGTATCCCTTGAAGTCAAATTGGATGAGTAGGTAGCTTTGGTGTTAGAAAATGTCACTGTAACATAGATTCTTGAGGAGAAAAGGAATTTGGGGACTTGGAGTTGTCACGATCTCTCCTTGTGGAAACATGCTGAGGTATTAAAGCCATCTGAGCTGGTTAGTGGGTTCTGTGTTCTGAAAGTTACACTCAGGTGTGAAGGGCTTGGTTAGAAATGAGACTATTCTCAGTATTGAAGTATCAAATATTAGACTAGGGTGATACTAGACAGGTACAATTCCTGCAGGTATTAAGATGGTGCTTTTTTACCATTAGTATTATAACTGTGGTAAAAGAACTTCTGACTTCTGTGCCAGCAGAACTTGGGATCTTCCTCTTTCCTCCAAAAGTTGCTGTTGAAAGTCTTCTTTTTGAACCTACCTGACATCCAGAATTCCCTCGTGTCACCCACCCTGGAGGGCAGCTGCACTTGTTTGTTCATTGGTGTGACCTTTGCCTTTAGTCCTTTTCTCTGCAGCCTCATTTTCCTTTCAAAGGAAAAGCCCTTAGAACTGAGCAGCCCAGTGACACCCAGTGTGTTAGATCTGTTCTCTGCACACACTTCCCTCACTGCCCAGTGCAGGCAGCAGTGTTTCCTCCCAAGTTGCAGCTAAAAGGAGCCCTGAGGTTTGTAGGAGAACATCCTTAGGTGGCATCCAGGTGAAGACAAGACCACCTGGCTCAGGAGGAGGATGGATGGGCTCGGAACGTGGAGAGCTAGGAAGGCCAGAGCTGTGTGGATAAACACTGGGGATGGTGCAAACACTTCATGTGGAGTGTTGTAGGACTTGAAAGAGGCTGACAGATGCCTCATGGATGTCCCTCTGAAATGAGTTGGTGGCTCTCCAGATGCTCGTTAATAACTCAATAACCCATATCTTCCAGATAATCGTTATGTACCTTCAGGTATTAGAATGTGAACGTAACCAACACCTGGTCCAGACCTCATGGTAAGTTGATTTTCCTTGTTCTAAGAGACCAGAAGGGGCAGTAGCAGAAATATGTCACTTGAGGCACTGGGCAGCATTGCTCAGGAGTGCTTGGGGCCACACCAGACAGATCCACTGTCCTTGGCGTGCCCCAAACTACTTCCCAAATGTTGATCGGCCTCTTAAGTCAGAGGCACTGTTTTAATGGTAAGGTAGCTTTCCACCCTGACTTCTCACTTCCCTCCTCTCTGCTTCCACTTTTCAGCTGAAGGGAAAATGTTGGGGTGGGTTTTAGTGTTTCCTTGGGTTTTTGTTGTTCATGTGTAGTTCAAGTCTGTTTCCAGTGCTGGGAAATGGCTTTTCCCAGGGCTTGAGCTCGATTACAGGTGTATCAAAACCTCAGCACAGACACATTTCTATTTATGTGGATAATGCAAGTTGTCAGCTTCTGAGACTGGATAGATGGATAGACTGGATTCTTGTTTGCCAAGAAATGTCCTCTGCCTTATTGCTCTCATTACAATAAATATTTGCTTGGGGGTGGGAAGCTTCTGTAAAATTGCAGGTGTGAAAACTTTTTAACAAATAAATAAAGGCTTTGAAACCATAATGCTTTTTAACAATAGCGTGGTGTAAAAACCCTTGTTAGTGAATCCAAAGACCATATTTCTGCTGACTGAACTGTCTGGTACTGTGACCTGTGTGTAGAGAACCAGTTTTGACTTTTCTTTTCTGTACTCTTTTAATCAAAGGGTAGCCTCTGAGGGTAAGTGACTAAGACTTCTCCTCTGCTGCCCATGGTGCAGGGATAGCTGCCGTCTTCAGTCAACCCAAAGCTCTCCAAAGAGAAGGCTGGCTCTAGACAGGTGGTATATACATGATAGTAGAGTAACTGGCCAACTGCTTCTTGTGCTTATACTTTTATTTTTTTTATCGTGCATTTTTGACTGTTTGTATATTTTATAACCTGACTGTTGAAGTTACGAAAGGGTTTTAATGTTCTTATCTCGTAATGTGATGTGTTCTTTAAGTGATAAAGCAAATTTAAGGCGGGGTTTTAAGTCTTAAAGGGATGGATTAACGCAAAAAATAGGAGTAGTTTGCATTTGTAAACTAGTCAGAAAACATTTGAGTACATGTTTGAAGCGTGGAGACAAATGTAACACTTAGAGACACTTCCTGACTTCCCAGTACCATTGCATGGAGTACTGGAATGTGAGGTATGGACTGATCACTGCCAGTTATCTGCTTGTAATGGGAGGAGGAGGAGGAGGGGAGGAGGAGGGAGGGAGTTACCCTGCTAGAGAAATGGGTCAGATGTTACAATAACACATCTCTGTGCTCATGTTGGTTGCTTCCAGTACTTGCAAACTGGTGGGTATCCAGTATAGTTGGTTTTTGAAATGTGCATTTTTTTACAGCATTCCCTTTTTCTTAAAATATTGTGACAAGGATTCATTTCCCCACGTGTCTGATTCTGAGCCCACAGGGAAGATGTGCAGAGGCCAAACCTGGAGCAGGCACATCTTTCAATTTGGCACATTAGAAAAAAGGCTGTGTGACTTCCAGCTGAAGTTCCACTTTATCTCTTTTTTTTTTTTTTTTTTTTTTTTTTGACCAAAAGGTTTGTGCTCTCTTTGTAGTGGGACAAGAAAAGTAGGTTTTGAAGTTCTTTTTTTCCCAGAAAGATGAGCTGATGGGTAGTGTTGCTTCTCTGGGGTAGCAGTTGTTCTTTGTGTAAACAGGAATGTAGGACAAGTGGGAGTTGGATACTCTTGGGATTCAAGTTCCTTTGTCTGCCCTTGTAAACTGATTGCAGATGTCTGGCCTGTGGTCTCTGCTTTGGATGTCTTGGGGGTCAGTGAATCCTTGTATACTGGGTACCCACAGGGTTAATTACTACTTTAAAGCATAATATTTTGAGGACTTTTACTGTGTCTGGTTTTAGTTTTTCTCCATCTGATATTTTGCTTGATATAAGTGCTCAAATACTAGATCTCTTAAAGCACATCAGCTGAGAGATTCAGAGGAAGTTACTTTGTGTATTTAAGATTTAGCAGGATAATTCTTAAGTGTACTGACTGGAATATGTGCAATATTTTACAGTTTTCTCATTCTGTGAATATTCATTTTAAGCAACCTTACTGAAATGGGACAATTTGGAAACCTTATTTCATGTGCCAAAGAGGAGATCTCCCTGAAAACTGACTGTTATCCTGAACTGACGTTCCCAAACAACCTGATTTCTTCTATGGCTGATTTTTGCATCAAAAAAGAATTCTGTTCTGGATGGAAAAATCCTACTTCTGAAGGAAATGGACCCCTTAAATCCCAGTGGGAGTTGTCATGTGCTGAAGAGGACTGCACTTTCCTGGGACAGCTACTGAAGGAGCTGCAGCTTTTGCCAGACATCTGGTTCTGCCCTATTGCAGGGAAACATGTGAACCTAAAATTCTATAACTGAGTACTCCAGACCATATTGTATGTTGTCCTGATGAAAAATAACTTGTCTATTGCATGAGAGCAGGCCAGTAGAGATCCAGCAGGAAAAGTGAAGTTCAAATTGGTTCTCTCCTCACAGCTGAATTTTCAGCAGTCAGTCAGGCTTAATTCCTGTCACACATCCCTACCCTTGAGGGATTTACTTTAGTTTTTCTTTTTTTCCAAGTTTAAAAAAAAAAAAAAAAATTAAAAAAAAAAATCATTCAACTTCTCTTTATAGAGTTACAGGACTGTAATGTCGAAGTCTAGTAACTGAATGCAGAAAGAAATAGCCCTCATAGAAGTAAAACCAAAAGAAATAAAACAACAAAACAAAACAAAAACCACCCCAAAGAGCTTTGCAGTTCCTTGCAACCTTCTGCTCTCGTGTCTTCCAGGAACTACATGAACGACAGCCTGAGAACAGATGTCTTTGTGAGGTTCCAGCCAGAAAGCATTGCCTGTGCATGCATTTACCTGGCAGCCAGGACTCTGGAGGTGAGCCAGGGTTTTCCATGGATTTGGGAGGGGGGGGTTTAAGCCTCCTCACAGGAGCAGAAAGCTGAGGGTGTCTCTGTCTCTCCCTTTCAGATCCCTCTTCCCAATCGCCCGCACTGGTTTTTACTGTTCGGAGCGACGGAGGAAGAAATCCAAGAAATCTGCTTGAAAATTTTGCAGCTCTACACAAGGAAAAAGGTTTGTTTCTCTTGCATGCTGGGAGCCCTCACTTAAAAAAAACCAAACAAACAAACACTTGTCCTGTTTGAAACCAAGGCTGGTTTTGGGAAGGGAACATGAAGGGAACAAGGAATAGTTGCTGTCCCTGTGAGCGAGCAAGCAGGAAGGTCAGTTCACTAACTGTTGTCACCAGCAGTGCTCCTGTGTCCACAGGTGGATTTGTCTGATCTGGAAAGTAAAATAGAAAAGAAGAAATTAGCTATTGAAGAGGCAAAAGCACAAGCTAAAGGTCTGGTACCTGAGGGAGTCCCGAGTTTGGATAATACATCAGGATTTTCCCCTGCCCCGAAAAATGGTAAATAGTGGATAACTTGGTTTTAATAACACTCTCATCTTTCATGTGTATTTACCCCTTTGGGATGCATTTACAAGTGTGGTTTGGGGTTGGTTGGGGATTTTTTTTTTCAAGCTGGCTTCTAGCTACTGTTCAACTGGCAGAGTTTGAATAGCATTGCAACTTTGTGATTTCTTGAATCAGATAAAAGCTAAAATCAAATTAGTCTAAAATTAAGACTAGTTTAAACTCATATAGTGCAGGGGCTTGTTTTTATGTGGTTTTGGCAATAAATACTTGCAACTAGCATGTTATGCTAAAGCAGTATTAAAGCAGAGGTGTGTTAGGAGCTCTGGCAGGAGTAACATTTTGGGGTGACTGGTGGGGAATATTTTCCTGCACTTCTTGGTTGAAAGTTTCCAGTCTGGTGCCAGTCTTGCCTAGAAGGTAACATTTACCATCATCTCCCCTCAGTTTACCTTTAAAGTGATACTGAATAACTGGCAAGAAAAGGAAGTTGCTGTTCTGCCTCCAGTTCACTCCTTGGGTGAAACATTTGGCAAAACGTTTCAGATTAATTTCTGCTGTCTGCGAACTTGTTCAGATCTGTTTGTGGGTGGTTGTGTGTGTGAAAAATACAGCTGTACAATTCTGATCCTTGCAGAGGTGGTGAGATGGGGCGAGGGGAGCCTTCAGTCCTTTCAGGTACTTCCCATACTTGCAAAATAGGTAACAAAGGCTTGTTTTTCCAGAGTCTCCAAAGGAGGTTAAAGGAAATAAACCTTCCCCACTACCTGTCCAGGCAATGAAGAATGCTAAAAGGAAAACAGAGGGAGCCAAAAGAACGAGCTCCAATAGCCCAGTAAATGGGTAAGGCCTCATAAGGAAGCAGCTTATTTCTTCCCACGAGTACTTTAAGCAAAATAACTGAGTGTTGATTGTCTCTTGCAGTGTCCAGAAAGGGAGAGAGAGCAGAAGTCGGAGTGGGAGCAGAGATCAGAGTTACTCCAGATCAGCCTCGAGATCTGCATCCCCTAAGCACAGGTGGGTGCTGCTGCACGGGGGGGCTGTGCTGGGACACCCTCCCAGGCTGGGATTTCACAGTGGTTTGTCCCCAAGAGGCTGTGAAGTGACACAGCAGTGTGTGCTGCCAGTTAAACTCCAGACTAAACTCCAAACTGGGGCGTTTTGGTGGCAGTGTCACTGTAACTGAAGCTGGAGGAAGGGATGCAAGTTCCTAAAAATTTCTCCAGTAAGCAGATGTTTTAGGACACAGTGTTTGGCGTAAAGTTTCGGATTAACTTCTGCTTTCTGTGAACTTGTTCAGATCTGTTTGTGGGCGGTTGTGTGTGTGGAAAATACAGCTGTACAGAACAACAGAGCGCAGAATGAAGATGTCACAGTTAAAGAAAATCGTGTTTTCTCTCCTCTTTTTTTTCCTAGGAAAAGCGAGAGTTACTCCACCTCCAGCGGCTCCAAATCCCACAGCCGCTCCCGCAGCCGCAGCGACTCCCCCCCGCGCCAGTTCAACCACAGCTCGGGCTACAAAGGCTCCAAGGTGAGGAGCTACAAGAAATCCAAAGACTACAAATACTCCACACACAAACCCCGCAAATCCCGCAGCCGGAGCTCGTCCCGCTCCCGCAGCCGCTCCCGGGAGCGCTCCGACCACTCCGGGAAGTACAAGAAGAAGAGCCACTACTACAGGAACCACCGGCACGAGCGCTCCCGCTCCTACGAGCGCGCCGGGCACCGCTACGAGCGCGAGCACCCCGGGCACAGCCGGCACCGCCGCTGAGGGCACCCCCTGCTCCTGCGGCCTTGGGCTTAAAACCACCTCGCTCCCTAAGCTCCATCCTGCTGGAGCTCCCTGCTCCTGCCTGAATCCAAAGGGAGAGATGTCCCGGTGACTGTGTCGTGCTGGAGCGTCACCCGTCCTGCTCTTTTAGTGGTTCCCATCCCGTAGCCTCCCGTCTGGGACTTCCATTTCCCTGTGGCTCAGCCCTTGGAATGCTGTGCCCTGTGGAACTGGAAGGGCCCCCAGGCAGTTCCTAACCCTTGGGAGTGGCTCTGGTGCTAACAAAGCTGTCTTTTCATACTGACTCTGGTGTTGTACAGATGGGGGTGACTTTTCTAGCCCTGTTGCCTATATTAGGTTCTATGTGTATATATATTTTGCAGTGTTACAGTACAATATGGAAATATGGCCTTACTAGCCTTTACACTTTATCCACAATTGTAAATAAGCATTTGTTTAATACAGGTGAAGATATATACAGAAAATTCAAAACTTGAATTCTATAAAAAAACCCTTGTGTAGAAAATTCTGATAAATGTGAAAGTATTTAGCTCTGTGCATTGAGAGTAGTATATTTTTATCTGTGCAATGCTGTGTGCAGGCCACCAGCTCATAAGACATTTCCTATATATACATTTTGAGTGGTTTGAAATTCTTTACTCAGGATCTTTGACACTCTGAAGAATTAGTAGTTTGTCAATCTGCATGCTTGTTGGAGAACAGAGCGTTTAAAAGCAAATTAGCAGACCCCCACAGCCCAGTAGTATCAGTTCTAGTGGTATATCTGAGCTGTTACTCTCTCATGCTCCCTGATTTCATTAAAGTATTTGATTTTCTATTAAATTTACTTGATAGTAGTTTCTTATGAGCTACACCCCTGTGCCTACTCAGAAGGAAAGAAATTTGGTGCTGAATGATTGTCAAATTGTAGTGGGCTTAAAACATGGGATTAAATCCCTGTTCCCTCAAAGTTGGGAATTTTGGGGCGTTCTATTAGTTTAGGCACCTTTCCAGTCAATCCCAAACGTAACATCCCCCAGTCCACAAAGATCTGAGCTGGGAAGTGCATTTCCCTGCCTCCAGCTGAGGTTCCTGAGCAGGGCTGGGACATTTTGGGAAGTCAGTGCTGCTGCTGAGCACGGCGGAGGTCCCGTGGCTGGAGCTGGCAGAAGAGGAGGAGCTGAAATCAAAAAATAAACCTGAAATTAAAAAGCCTCACGTTTTTATGTGCCTGCACATACAGGTCTCAGCTCTCAGGTGAGTTATGACTTTGTTGTCTCAGCATCTGATGGCTCTTCCAGGGTTCTTGCTCATCAGAACATCTCAGGTTGTTCAGTGATCCCTGTTCCTGGTGTTCAGATCCCAAACACAAAGAGGTCACTAAGCAGTTTTATGCCTGATTGGGAGGTTCTGCAAACCCACCAGAATGCTTTGTTGTCACATAGGGAGTTGTGAAATGCACGCCTGGGAAGGAAGGTAGTGGATTAAAGTACCTGGAAAAGAAGAGTGTTGAGTGTTTGTGAGACAGAGGTGGCTGGAAAGGAGCTTTATTGGGAAGAAAAGCAGGTTTGAGTATCCAGGGCAGCCTTTCTTGCTGGCTTCTGCCACCTCCAGTGTGTGCACAGGGATGAGCTTTTCCCACCAGCTTTGGGGACCTGGAATCCAGGCTGATCCAGGAGCTACTGGTCATCTTTGCTCACAGCCAACACTTGGTGTGTCTGAGGACCTGTCTGCAAGTGTCCTGTCACCTTCCTCTCACCCTGGGAGTGTGATGGGAACATTAAACCTTCAGACACCTCCACATACTTTCAAGTGCATCCTGCACATTTTTGGAGCTACTGCAGTTTCTTAGAAATAAACCAAAAAATGGGAAACGGGGCACACCCAGCAAATGTTTGAGGCTTTTCCACAGAATTTTAACGAATTGCAAAACCTCTTTGTGGTTTCGTCTCCCAAGTCTGAGGGGAGAGGCTATCCCTGACCTCTGGCAGGATGGAGTTAATATTTTAAAAGCTCAGTGAGCTTTTAATAAAGAAAATATTAATTAAATATTAAAGAAAATATTAATTAAAGCCTCTATCCCTGCACATACCAGGTTCTGTGTGAGTGTGTGGATCAGGAGTAGGTTGCTGATGTGGGATGGCACACGCAAGCCCTGTGGGGAATAGGTGTGAGGATTAGCAAAGGCAGGGCAGGCTGTGGTCAGGGCTCGCTTTGTTCCCTGCGGGAGTTTGTGGAGCGGGGCTTAGGAGCGAGATGGGCTCGGGGCTTTGTGAGAGGGAGAAGAGCAGATCCACCTTCCTCAGTCCGAGCCCGTTCCTTCCCTACCCCGGGGGAGGCGCCGGGCGGGGGCGGGACCGGGACGGCTCCGCATCGCGCAGGTTGAGAACCGCGTGTGGGTGAGAACTGAGCCCGGAGCGCAGCGAGCCGGGACCAGCCGAGCCGGGACCAGCTGAGCCGGGACCAGCCGGGCCGAGCCGAGCCAGCCATGGCCCAGCCGCGCTGCCGCTCCGTGCTCATCACCGGCTGCAGCCGCGGCATCGGGCTGGGGCTGGTGCGGGGGCTCGCGGCCGCCACCCCCTCCCCAGACTTCGTCCTGGCGACCTGCCGGGACCCCGAGAAGGCGCAGGTAACCGGGCCGGGGGCGCAGGGGGTCCCGGGGGGGCGGGTAACGGGGGTGGGAGGCGAGGAGAAGGCACTTTGGGAAGGGCGGAACATCTCGAGCATCTCCGCGCCCGAGCGCCGGCACCGAGCGCCCGGGGTGGAATGGGATGGAGCTGGGAATGGGATGGAGAGAGGATGGGATGGAGCCGGGGGCTGAGCTCCTGCCCGGGGCAGGGGCCGGCGCGGATGGAGCTGGTGCTGGGGAGGTCTCCGAGGCTGGAGCAGGGGGATATCCTCGCTCGGGAGCGTTCCCGGGAGGAGCAGAGCGAGTGGGACGCTCCGCAGCCCCCGAGCATCTCCAGCGCTCCTGCTGCCCCGCTCCTCTTGTCCACGAGTTTCTCGCTGGATTTGCAGCTGGAGATAAGTCTGTCTGTCCGTTTTGCACGGAGCCGGAGCCCTGCAGGGGCAGCGCATCCCTCAGAAACATTCCCAGTGAGACCCGTCACAGCTTTCCTTGTCTCTCCCCGCGGTGTGTTTGTGTCCCCAGAAGGGGCTGTGCCCCGTCTGCCTCTTCTCTTTCTCCGCTGCACTTGCAACAGTGAGGAAGCGCGAATGAATGATGAATTCAACACTCAGTGAACTCCACACTCTTCTCAGTGAACTCCACGCTCCTCTCAGTGCCCCCTCGGCCGGGCAGGGCCCAGCACTTTCTGCTGAAAACAGCAGCTTTTCTTGCCTGCTGCTGGTGGATCCACTTGCAGCCCTGTTCCCTTGCAGCCCTGTTCCCTTGCAGCCCTGTTCCCTTGCAGCCCACATCCCTGTTGCTACAGAGTGCTGGGACTCCTTCCCCATCCCTGAGCTGCTATAAATGACTGTCAGACAAATTTGGGAGGCAAACTGATGAGGGTTATCAGTCACTTTGTGGCCTCTGCTGATGCATCTCTTCTTGACTCTCCTCAGTAAGGTGAATTTAGGGCAGCACAGTCATATGCACAGGTATTACTCTCTTCCTGGTGCTCCAGAGCTGCAGGAATCTGAGCTCTTGGCTCTGTGATTGTCTCAAACCCCTCTGTGATGCCACAGGCATTTGGTAGGAGAATTGATACCCAAAGCCCTATTTCTGCATCTGCCCTGTTTCAAGGGAAAAGCGAATTCCCTGGCACGTGCAGAGGTGAACAGAACCTGCTCCTTCTGGTGGATTTGATTCCTTTCACACGTGGTGTGATCACACCACGCCAGCAATAAACCAAACACAGCCACTTTGCTTACTGCTTAGCTACATAAAACCTTAAAAATGTGGTGCTGAGGGTCTCCTTCAAGGATGTGGTGCAGGGCTGGTCAGGTAACACCTGCACCCTGACCACCAGGAGCTTCTGCTGCTCCACTTATGAAACTGCAGGGAAAAGTATTAATTTCCTTTTTTTCTTGTAAAATAAAAAAATCTCTCCAGCACAAAAGCACATTTAGGACATTTCTGAACAGAAGTGCTGCATAACAGCCCGGCCAGGCTGAAATCAGGTGCACAGGCTGCCTTTCAGAGCTCTGGCCCCTGTTGGCTCCCCCTCATCCCCTCCTGCACCACCTGAGCTCCTGAGCAGGAATCCACTGCCATTCTGTTCCCTTTTAACTCCTGTTCCCACAGCTGGCACCTGTCCCAGCCTGTTTCCTTTGGTGGTTGCACAACCCCTGTGCAGCAGCAGCCCAGGAAAGCAGCAGAGACATCTGACCTGTGTCAGATAGAGATCTCCCCGCCGGGTTGTTTGTTCTGAAGCTGCTTGAGCCGCTGCTGAGGGAGGTTCTTTCTCTTTTTCACCGACTGGCCCTTGTGTTCAGCAGTGATTTCTCACTGTAATGGTCTGGGATCAGTTACATGGAGAAGCAAAATTGTTCCTTCAATAGGAAGAGCTTGCTAGGAAACATTACACGGACGTATCTCGACGTAACTCGTCGGGTTTCTTGAGTTGTCAGTACCCAAAATTCTCGAGCAAAAAGGTTGGTAAAGCTGCACAAGGAGATTAAACAGCCTTCAGACAGTGCAGGGTGTCTGGGAAGAGTCTGGGTCACTCCTTGCCTACAGTAAAACCTGGAAAGTCTGCTGGCAGTGTGTCCTGTAGGCAGGAAGCTGGCCCAGAGCCACATTCCAGGAACCCCAGCGGGGATTCTGCAGGACACATGGGGTGCATCCTAAGCTTTTTGTTTTTTAGGGGGGCAAGGTTTGTCCTTGGTGGATCAGGGTGGGTTTTTGTTCTTTGTGAGGACCTCTAGGCCATGTGCTGTGCTTTGGCAGGACATCAATAGAAGCCTCTGCAGCCAGCTGAAAGCAGATTTCTAACAGATGGGTTTGGAAACGCCACAAGGGAGAGAAATCTTTACTAAAGGTACTGTGGTGGTTTCACCAGTGTTATCTGCCCCATCTGCAGTGCCTGGAGTTGGCACAAAACCTTGTGACCTCCTGAGTGTTTGCACTGTGCTGCTGGTCCTTGGGGCTGGCACAGGGCAAGCAGGGACCTGCTGGAGCCTCCAGCACTGGGAGTCTTGTTCATGGGAGCACAAATTCAACTGGTGATCTCCAAGCTTGGATCCAGCCTGGCAGTGTTGCTGGAGTGTGCTGTGGTAGGAAAGGCAAAGGTTCAGTGATTTTTCTCTTGGTTTTTTGGTTGTTTTGGGTTTTTTTCTTTCCCAGAGAGAAACCTTTGCCTTCATTGACTTTTCCATCAAATCTTGAACACCCTGAGTTCAGGTTCCTGCTCTCCAGAGGCTGGCACTGCAGGCTTGGCTTAGGGCACATGAAATGGGCTTTGCCCAACTAAGACCTGCTTGTTGACCGTTCAGACTGGGCTGCAAAGTTGAGTGAGTTCTTTCTCTGCACACCTGAGTGTCAGTGCTTGCTTTTTTTCTTGACAGCAATTCAAGTCTAATTTTGTTTCCTCCCACTTTGCTTTGGGATAAGTGACCATATGAAAAATCCTTCTTAACATGAGTGCACTGTCCCCCATTTCCTCTCCTGCTTTAGAGGATGAACAGTAACTTTGGTCAGTTCCTTTAAATTCTGCTCTGCTCTGGTTTGGCAGAGGAGCATTTTCCCATTGCAGAATGCAGAGGGGAGGGAAAGGATGGGAAAAGCTTAAATGAAGGGGCTTTTAAAAATCACCTTCCAGTTTTTAGAGGAAAATTGATTAAATATTCTTAGCTGCTGGCAAAGACAGTGTCCACCTTGGGCAAGAATGTCTCAGCAGTGATGAC